CGAAACGTTTCTACATTTTTTGTTGATTTGCTTTGTTTTGTTTTTTTTGAATGTCCAGAGGACCAGATTTAACTTTTTTAGATTTTTCTACCTGGATTATTGAGCATGCATCAGGATACTCTGGATCATGTTGCGCCTGTTAAAATCAAAACTCATAGAGCAGAACCTTGGCTGTGTGACATCACAAAGGCTGTTAGGCAGCAATGTAGGAGGGCGGAACAAAAGTGGAGGAAAGACAGGCTGCAGGTCTCTTTTCAGATACTTAAAGAGAGTTGGCGCTGTTATCAGAAAACAGTAAAAGCTGCTAAATCAAAATTATTCTCTGATATAATTACCTCAAACTCTCACAACCCACTTGCCCTCTTCTCCACCCTAAACTCTGTTCTCCACCTCACTGAACCATCACCTCTGGAAGCCTCGACTGAGCTGTGCGAGAACTTCCTACATTTCTTTTTGGAAAAAATTGCGACCACCAGGGCTCTCATTTCCCCTCCAACTCATGACCCATCCATCCCACCTCAATCTGTAGCTCCTTTTGACCATTTTGAACCCATCACTCTATCTTCTCTAGAGCAGGTCACGTGCAGCTTGAAACCTTCTGGTTCCCCCTTTGATGTGGTCCCCCCTCGACTACTAAAGGAGGTTTTTCCAACTCTGGATATATATATATATATATCCATTCTTGATATAATAAACAGTAGTTTATCCACTGGCGTGGTGCCAAAATCCTTTAAACATGCTGCTGTCCAGCCTCTCCTGAAAAAACCAAACCTTGACCCCTCACTCGTTTCCAACTTCCGGCCTGTCTCCAAACTCCCATTTGTTTCTTAAGTTCTGGAGAAAATAGTCGAGTCCCAGTTGAAGTACTTCCTGGAGGATCACGCCATCTTAGAGCTATTCCAATCTGGCTTTAAACCTCTCCACAGCACTGAAACTGCCCTGCTGAAGGTCTTTAACAACATCTTCAGATTCACAGATACTGGTGATTCTGTGCTGCTTGTCCTGTTGGACCTCACAGCCGCCTTTGACACCATCAACCATGAGATCCTCATTGCTAGGTTGGAGCAGTGGGTGGGCGTCACAGGATCAGCCCTCAATTGGTTCAGATCTTACCTCGCTGACAGATCCTTTTGTGTCTCCATCAAGGATTTTAGTTCTGCAGAGGCAGAGCTTAAATGGGGGGTTTCGCAGGGGTCGATACTGGGTCCCCTCCTATTCTCTTTATACCTGCTGCCGCTTGGTGCTATTTTCCAGAAACACAACATGCCCTTCCACTTCTATGCCAATGACTGTCAAATTTACTTCCCCCTAAGACACAATGGCACATGCTCTATTCAACCTCTGCTCGACTGCCTGGCTGACATCAGGGACTCGATGGCTTTAAATTTCTTAAGTTTCAATTAAAAGAAGTCTGAAGTCATGTTGTTCCCTCCCAACGACACGATCACAAACCACTGCATCGACCTCTCCGCTCTAACCCTGTCAGAAAAACAAGGAGTCACTAATCTGGGTGTGATAATGGACCCTTCCCTGAAACTTAACAATCATGTCAACATGATTGTTAAATCACGTTTCTTCCAACGGAGGCGGCTGTCTAAACTGAAGCCCATATTGTCCAAAAATAACCTGGAGACAGTAATACATGCATTCATTACATCTATGCTTGATTACTGCAATTCACCCCTGTTTGGTATCAGTCAGACCTCCATTGTACGACTACAACTGGTCCAGAACGCAGCAGCCCGATTTTTAACCAGTACAGGCAAAAGGGAGCACATTACTCCAGTTTTGGCCTCACTGCACTGGTTACCGGTTCACTTTCGAATCCAGTTCAAAATACTCATGTATGTCTACAAATCACTGAACAGTGTCGCCCCCCCATCTCTCTGATCTGCTACAACCGTATGTCCCACCACGTTCCCTGAGGTCAGCGGACCAGTTGCTCCTCACAGTTCCAGGAACTCGTCTTAAGCGCAGAGTTGACAGGGTCTTCTCTGTAGCAGGACCAAGACTCTGGAACGAGTTACCTCTGCTTGTCAGACAGGCCCCCTCCCTCTAGGTTTTCAAGTCCCGTTTAAAAACTCACTACTATTCAGTAGCTTTCAACACCAGATGATCTGTGTTTTGATCCTGTACGCTCCACACCGGTTTGTCGTCATTATCTGCATCGCTTTTATGTCTATATTCTGATTTACCTCATTTTGTATTTTGCTTGGTGTGTTACCTGTTGTTCTGTCTGTACAGCACTTTGGTTGGCCTTGTAGCTGTTTTAAGTGCTCTATAAATAAAGTGGTATGGTATGGTATCATTGATAAATGCTGCAATCCTCTCTGGAACAGAGCTTTTTTTTTTATTTTTAATGGACTGAGGCAAAGAAGAACACTGCTCTGTGGGCAGAAGAATAATTAAAAAACATCCTCCGTATTAAAGAGGAGAGGGACTATCTGACCTGTTGTCTGCGCACTGTTCAAAAACCTGCCTCTCTGACGATATGGGGGTGCATTTGTGCCTCTGACACGAACCGTTTTCAAATATAGAAAAGCATCACCAATGCAGAAAAGTAGGTTTTAGAACAAGGTTTCCATCCAGCAAAACAAAAAATAAACCAGCAAAGACAGCCCAGGACTGTTGAACATCTAGAATCGTCCATTAGACAAGAGCTGAGCGAAAGTCCCTTCAGATAACCCTATCAGCTGCTCTCCGTAGCTCCCAGATGTTTACAGACTGATGTTTAAAGAAGAGGATGTGCCACAGTGATGACCCTTTTGAGAGGTGGTGCTGCTGTAAAATTTAAAATGGCACTGCTCTTTATTTTTTCCAGTTTGTACACTTTCATAATTCAAATACTTGATGTGTTTATTATGTTCCAGTGTGAATAAAATATGGGTGTGTGAGATTTGCAGATCATTGCGTTCATAGCAGCAAAATGGCTTCTATAACTTCTGCTGAGAAAAAGTGCTTCTAGTTGTTAAAGATCTGTGTTAATCTGGTGCTATAGCCACAAACTATTGAACAAATCGAAGGTTTATTTATTTATTTATTCATTCATTCATTCATTTAAAAAGACAAAAAACGAAACAAAACAAATTAATCAAAAAGATAAAACATTGAACAAAAAGGGTGCAGAAAGAAGAAAAAATTATAATATCTGCCCCTTAGTTAAAATATATATAAAATAACTATAATCAGACAACAACTTAAGATTGAACAATCCCCAAAGTGAAAATGAAAACATCAGGCATTCTTCACATGGTATCATACTTTCCTATTAACGTAATCATCTTTTTAAACATATAAATTATTTTAGACATTTTTATGGTGAAATCAAGACAATTCCATAATCCTATTCACTGAATGACCAAGCAGCTCCTTCAGACTAGTTCTAAATGGAGGTTTTACAAACATTTCCATTCCCTTAATGTTATAATGACTCTTTTTTTTTTTAAACAAATTTTTATTGAATATTTGGAGTTAATATTTTTATGAGCTTTATACATGACTTGTAAAATATTATAGTCAACCAAATCATAAAATTTTAATAATTTCAACTGATGAAATAATATATTTCTTGCTTGACCATAGCACTTCCTACTAATAATTCTTATAGCTCTTTTTTGTAAAATAGAATAGGATTTATAATTGTTTTGCATGCTTTTCTTCAAACTTCAATACAGTAGCTGAAATATGAAATAATCAGTACATTATACAATATATAGAAAGCTTTGTCATTCAAAAACTCTTTTACTTCATACAGTAATGCAACTGATTTTGTTAGTTTTATTCTTTTCTTCCAAATTTAACGATAACTTATTAAGTTGGAACCAAGTTTGTATTTTTATGAATTCTGCCTGTATCATCTCTAACATCCATTCAATATCTTCACCCAAACAAAAAATGTGGTATAATCGCAAATAAAACACACTTCATAAACACCCTGACACATCAACCAGATCATTCACATACAAAATAAACAACTTTGGGCCCAACACACCGTTTACCTGAACAAACTGTCTCCTATTATTTAAATAACTACCACTGTAGTGCTAATCCTCTAATACCATTTGTGTTCAGTTTTTCAAGGAGAATGATGTGGTCGCTAGTGTTAAAGGCCTTTTTTAAATCAACAAAACGCTAAAACAATACTGTTTTTGATCAACAGCAGTTGTTATCTCTTCTATTAGTTCAATGAGAGCCATTGATGTTGAATTATTTGCTCTAAACCCATATTGACTATTACTTAAAATATTCTGTTTATCTATGAATCAATCTAATCTGGTTACAAATAATTTCTCTAATGTTTTTGAAAATTGTAGCAACAAGGATATTGGTCTGTAATTAGTGAACACACATTTTTCACCATTCTTATAAAGAGGAACTATCTTTGCTACTTTCATATTTTCTGGAAATGTTCCTGTTGAAAATGATAAATTACAAATATATGTCAATGGTTCAATAAGACAATTCATTATATTCTTTACAAACATACTTTACTTACAAGATGAGAAGGACATGCAATAAATGCACAAAGGGCTTGCCACAAAGAAGAACTCCCAACTTCTGGGTTGGTCCACAACAAAACAAGAGCTCTCTCAGCCCACATTCAGACAGTGAAGCATGCTGGCTGCAGGTGTGTTGGTTCTGCTCTGCAGCAGGTTTGGTGCTGCTCTGACCCAGCCCCACGGGCCCCTGATAACTGGTCAGACTGTGCAAACAGATATTATTTGAGCCTAAATAACATGTTTTTTTTTTTGTTGAGATTTGTCTATTTTATTTTCCATTCAGAGCATGCAGTCCCTTCAGTCCGTCATGTGCCATGTTTTGTGGATGATCTTCTCGCAGTGCTGCGTGAAGCAACGGGAGATGATGGAGAACTCACAAACAACTCCTTGACCTTGTTTGGAATCTGTACGGCTCCTGAGAACTCAACATCTCGCTCAGGTTTATCAGAATTTGTTGAGGAAATGAGAAACCACACAGAAGGAATGGAAGTTCTGCATCCCTCTGCAGGTAACACTTTTACAAACTTGTTTTTCAAATGTTCTTTTTATAGACTCTTGAAGAAAAAAATAACTGTGTTGTGCATGTATGAAAGTGGCCTATTGCACTAAAACAATAACAAAAAATACTAAACAAGTTTCTGAGCATGAGAAATAATTTAGGTGCTCGTGGTATTATTAGCAAAAAAAGGTGTCTGATGCAAACAAAATAATTTTTATGCACAAGAGATTATCCAGTGCCATTCAGAGCCTGTCTCTCAATATGAAAGTTGAAAAGATAAATTTCATTAACTTTGATCTCAAACTAAATTTGACGTTTTGTGGTCTGCTCCTGCAAATTAAGGCAAACACCAGCTTTGATCAGGGAACTCCCTTTATTCATGAATAATTACAAACCACAGGTGGAAAGAGTACTGAAAATTTGTACTCAAGTACAAGTACTCTTAAACTGCTTAAACTGTACTCAAATACAAGTAAAAAAACTGGTGTTATAAAAAAAATAGTCGAGTAAAATTACAAAGTACTCTTCTCAAAAACTACTCAGAATATGACTTACTTTTTAACCAATTGATGTTTTATTGTGTTGTCAATAGAAGTCATTCAGTTTGATTTACTGTATATAAGAACTACATTCAAAGCACATTTCTCAGAAGAGCAATAAAGTACAGAAAAACTACAGTAAGGCCATTTCTTTTGTAAACAAATGTAGATAAAGCAGGAATTTTGTTTGTTAAAAGAAAGACAAAAATGTTTTTGAACCGGCATAGAACAGTTTAAACTTTTCCAAATACACTGAGCAACATTAAGTGTCTTAAACTCTGACATCTCTGTCACCCTTCACTTTCTGAACATTTTGTTCAGAGCTGGTTTTATGAGTTAACAGTCTATCTGGCTTCGTTTGGCTGTGAAGAGTAAATAAATGAATAAATGACTCTGTACTCTACAGAGTTGTCCTTTGCACGTTTGAGATCTGAGAGCCTTACTGGCTACAAAGATGCAGATGAACGGATTGAATATTAATTCAAATTGCAGCCGTACTCGGTAGCTACTTCTGATTTTAAAAGTAGTGAAGTAGATTACATGGTCTAAATTGTACTTAAGTATGAGTAAAATTACACATTTGAAAATACTCATAAAGTACAAGTACCCCAAAAAAATCTAATTAATTAAAGTAACCTGAGTACTTTTAATTCATTACTTCC